GCACGAGGCCTAAGTTCAAACTCCAGTAACCCCCCAACAATGGAATTATCAGCATTTCCGGCTTCCTAGATGCCCCTGTGATCTGATACAAGCTGGTCAATGCCCAGATCCACAATTCTCACACCAATCCCAAGTCATATCCATAACTTCTTTAAAATCTGGCTTGCTTTTCTGTTCTTTAAACGTTTCTTGAGCACTGTGGTGTACACTTGGATATATCATCTCACTTCATCTTTTGACAGTCCTTTTAAGGAGGACATGATATGCCTGTTTTACAGATGCAGTTTGAGACAGAAAAATAATTCAAGTCACACATTTTAACCAGAAAGCAGCAATTCAAATCGGTCTGCCTGACACTGAAAGTGTAAATCTTTTACTATTAAACTTGATTCCTCTCAGATGACTTTCTGTTATACCTAACTTTTTTCAACTCTGTTTGTATCTCAATATTAGTATTCTGGAAATTTTGGGGTGTATATGCATGTGTGTGCATACGTGTGTTTATGTATTCATTCTCTAACTAGAATGACACCTGTTATGCTTCTTTTATATCTTCCCATGCAACTATTTCAAAGTTCTACACCAGTCACTCATCAAACATTTGTCCAGCATTCAGTAAGTGTTGATCACCAATACAGCTGTAGATTCAAAGATGAATTACAATCTGATGTGTGCTCTCAAGGAATTTGCATTATTGTACAGAAGACTGGGCAAATGCACAAAACACATGTAATGCAGCGTCAGATACTGAATGTAGGGTGCTTTAGCTTACTTAATAAATTGCTGGGCATGGTAGTTCATGCCTGTATCCCAGCACTCAGGAAGCTGAGGCAGGATATCAAGAGTTTTGAGGCCAGCCTGGCTATATAGCAAGACCCTGTCTCAAGGACCAAAAAATAAGAAAAAAATAAATGTACAAACATTACATACTTAATACCTGGTATTCAATAAATGGTAAATAGGATCTCATCAGAAGTGTCTGAGGTCTTAAGAGTATGTACAGGGAATATCTGTGAAGAGGGGAACAGAGGAGGCATGCTGACTAGAATGAGCAGCATAAGGGAAAAACAGAGAGAACATTTCTAGTCTAATTTAGCTCAAGGGCCTAGATCATGAAGGGGTCTGAATATTAGGGCTAAAGAAAGTGATTATTCTGTGGAAAATGGGAAGACATTCAGACAGATTTTTTTGTGTGTGGTGCTCAGTACCAAGCCCAGGGCATTGTGCATGCCAGGCAAATGCTCCACCACTGAGCTACACCTCCAACTGTTTAGCTAGAAATATTTAAAAGTTCTACAACAGCACTGTATAGGAAAACTGGTCATTGAAAGACTAGAGTGGGTAGTGCCATAACTGTCCGTTAAGAAGTGATTGTTTAAATTAGGGTAATGAAGTAGTAAAGAGAAAGAGAATAGTGCACAGGGTAAGTTTCAACAGGACTTCCTTACTATTTGGATATTGGTGAGAGGGAGAAGATGAAAGAGAGTCACTGACAACTTTTACATTTAAGCTCTAGGTGAAGAGAAGGCTAGTAGTACCAATATAAGAGAGTAAGGGCTGTGGTGTAGCTCAGTAGTACAGCATACGCTTAGCATATGCAAGGCTTGGATTCAAGACCCAGTACAGATAAACAGAGGCAATCAAGAGGAAAATTCATAGGGTAGGACAGATGGGCACAGGAATCTGATGGAAAAGGTGTTAAAAAGTCCGAGTTTTGGGCTGGTGGAGTGGACTCAAGCAGTAAGAGAGATCCTGAGTTCAACCACCAGTGGCCACAAAAAGGAAAAAGTATTGAGTTTCCATTAACCAATGGGTTAAGAAACTGCATGATATACACACACATGCATACACATGCATGCAACATACACACACACACACACACCATTTTCCACATAAATAGTCTTAAGAGTGCAGAGAGCCAGGGAACATGGCTTTCTGTCCTGGGGTTTAGTATCACATACAGCAACATTGTCAAAACCAAACTTCTGATTTTTCCATCCAAGTCATACCAACCTCTATTCAGTTGCCTAAGCCAGAAATCTTGGAGTTATTTGTGTCCCTGCTTTCCCCACCTGTATCAAATCTATAACCAATATCCATCATTTCTATCTCCAAGACATGCCTTAAATATACCCATCTTCTTCTCTGCACAGCTACTATCCAGTCTGGGTACTATTATCTCTGGCCTGGACTTTCTATAATATCCACTAGTCTCTTCTTCTACTCTTGCTGCCCTACAACCCACTCTCCTTGCAGCACCAGAGTGAGCTTCTGAAAAAACGTGAATTGGATTGTGCCATTAAAACCTACCTCACCCATGGTGAGAATTGTTTGAGCTACAAAGAAGTAATTTTTGAAGATTCTATTTTGTGGGCATTTGAAGGAAGAAAAGATACAAGAAAGGAGTAAAAAGGAAATAGTTGGGTAAACAAATGTAGTATATTTTCCAGAAACCAGGGGAGGAGTTTCAAGAAGGAAGAGATAAATCATCAGTAATTGCAAAAGGGTCAAAGATCCCTTTCCCCATTAGAAGCTCACTGGTGCCCTGGGGTGGGGGGAGGTAGGAGAGGAAGCCATATTGTGAGGGGTTAAGAAGTGAAGCCAACACAGTTAAGTGTAGCTTATTTGAAAAAAAAAATGTGATTTATGGAAGGGAAGGGGCTAGCTATCAGCCTGAGGAGATGTCAGAAGTCAAGCACTGTTTTTAAGGATGAGAGAGAATTGCACATGTTTATAGACAAAGAGGAAGACGTCTATGGGCTGTAGGGGTTGAGTGAAAGTTGAAATAATGACAAACGAGCAGTGTAAGGAAGAAATTGAGTCTTGTCTAGGCTTCAGGGATAGGCAAGGAAGGAACAGGGCAGGAAACAGACCAACTGACACTCTAAATTCTGAACTATAATGAGATGAAGTGGAAATGAGTTGTTTGAATACTTCAGCACCTGAGCATTGCTTCTATACTGGAAACAGTATCCTAGTACAGAATACAACGTGGCAAGATGATTCAATTGTAGAAAGGGCAAAATGTTGCAGACTGCTCTGGAATTGGCAGCTCATTTCTAGCAAATCTTAAGAGTAGCTGCACCCTCATGATTAAGACAACACAAATTATGTTGTAATTCTCTAACTCTATTTTACACAAGCTTTAATACCTACATGTTCTGAAAATGAGAAGAAAATCCTTTCCAAGGAAGTAGATTTAGTCGAGGACTTCAGAGGACGTAGGTTGAAGCTGGCTCTAAAACTTGCTCAGGTGATGACCTGACGATTACTTGACTTGTGTTTGAACTGCAAGGTCAGGTTTGGGCTAGGCCACTTTTTGGCACTCCCCTGCTTCAGTTTCTGGCAGAAGTAGGAGGAAGGAAAAGCACATACATTAAAAAGGCACTAGTGGGCCAGGCCTATGGTGCATGCCTGTGATCCCAGTTACTCAGGAGGTGGAGACAGAGGGATTGAGGTTTGAGGCCAGCCCTAGAAAAAATTAGGGAGATCCTCTCTCAAAAATAAGCCAGGGTTTTATTGTGCTATCTTCATATAGAATTATCACAAAAGAACCCCCTTAATGTATGCTAATTAGAAATAAAAATTAAAAAGCCTGTTGTGGTGGTACATGCTTGTAATCCCAGCTACTCGGGAGGCAGAGGTAGGAGGATCCAAAGTTCAAGGCTGGCATGGACAAAGTTAGCATGAAACCCTATCTGAAAAACAAACTTAAAAAAAGCAGAAGAACTGGGGGCATGGCTCTCAAGTGGTAGAGTACTTGACTAGGCAGTATGAGGCCCTGAGTTCAATTCCTAGTACTGCCAAAAGAAAACAAAACCCCAAAACAAACAAGAAAACCAGGGCACTTATCCCTTTGGCCACTTTCTTTGCTCATTTCACAATCTGCCCACTATGTTTTCAACACTGACCCCTGTTCTCACTTTACCTCCTAATACTTTTCCTCAGAGTATAGTTGTTATGGATGTGAATTCTAGGGGTCTGCATGGGTTTAAGTGCCATTTTTACCATGTACTTGCTGAATGACTTTGAGCAATATGTTTCAACTGTCACTGCCTCAGTGGCTATCTCACATGTTGACTGTAAAGGTTAAGATAAGATGGCCCGGGCTAAATGCCTGTGTAACAATGTCTGGTAAGCACTCAAATATTGGTTGGTTTAAAAACCATTATGCCAAATATTCCTTAATATTTTTGGAAAGCCCCATTCACTGTTATTTTTACTCCCCTACCACTACTGAAAGAGTACTACTAGTGGTCTGAGAAACAAATCCTTGGCTTTGAGGTGCAGTCTTAAATCAGACTTCTACTAGATATAGGGCCATATTATCCAAACTGGGACACTTTTGAGTGAGCGAGAGTGCTATTAATAGTTATGCCAGGAGGACTGAAGGTGTGGCTCAAGCAGTTGAGCACCTGCCTTGCAAGTGTGAAGCTCTGAGTTCAAACTCCAGTATTACTAAAAAAAAATAATTATGGCAGGAAAACAGATGAAGACTGTCCTGGGCAAACCAAGACCTGGGGTCACTCAAATTAAATAGAAAATTAAGACTAAATGTGAAAAATACTGTGTTTATCTCCATTGCATCAGTATAGATTACTAGGTGCTTGGTAAGTACAAAACAGATAAGGTTTTGTGAGCTATGGCTAAGAATGCCAACGTTTCCCCCACCGGTTATATAAAATTTCCAGAATGTAGTAAAACTGAATTAACCAGGATAAAACTATAGAGACACTGTTCAGCCTTGATGGATAAACCCCCTCATTACAGAAATTGCTAGTGAATGTTATGAACAAGATTATGCTACATATTTATAATACTTAGGAGAACAAACTTTTAAGTTCCTCTAGTAATTCAGAAGCACCATTTGTTTAGAAGTTAAATGCTGAGTAAAAAAATGCATCTTATTCTCAGAACACTTTCCCTAAAGACTTCAATAAGCCTGTTAAACTTAGTAAGCCTAGTTTGAGTGATTATATATCACAACAACAAAACTATGATTCTTTACATATACTGTATTTCTAACATATTATGTTTCTGCCATATAATTTCTAACATATAATGTGTTTCTAACAATGTATTTAATATTGTTCTAATTTGACCCAATTAGTGAGTTTTGACTATACTTACAATTAAACAGAGTATGTAAAGTCATGAAATAAGCTCTAATCACAAAACAATATAAAGCTCTAATCACATACAAAGTTTTGCGCACTGGCACCAGACATGATTTAATTGGAAAGTCTTATTCTTTATTCTATTTTCAAAACATAAGTGCTTTTTAAAAATCCAATATATCTTGTTAGTATCACACACTCAAAATGATCAAAATACCAGTAGAGTTTTCTGAAAAGTTGCTTTAAAAGTTAAATACCATTGTCTGGGAATCACAGTGACAGTCAATTTAGTAAACCCAGAGAAACACAGCCATAAGTGTCAGTTCAGGCAAATGAGTGCAGGAGGGTGACTTCTATCAGTGGCAATCCAGATACACTTCCTGTGACTGAGGTATACTTATAGCCAGTGAAATGAGGAATAGTTTTAGAACAGGTTGTACATTTTCTTCAAAAGTCATCAGAAAATCATGCAATGAGAAAGCTACTTACTGTGTATTTCCATTTATTCAGAGAGGTACCAAAAAGGTAAACTACCCTCTCTTTGTTTCCACCACCTGTTTTCTATCACTCTACTGTGTTCACTTATTTAGTACATTCATAATATTGTCACTGGTTTTGTAAGAAGTGTTTAGAGTCTGCCACCCCACCCATCCCCATTCCTGTTCTCTAGAGAAAACTTAGTAATTGAAGGGAAAGGAGGAGATTCAAGTAGGAAATTATCTGAGTGCAAACAGGGAAATAAGCAGAAATAAGCAGAGTTTTTATCAACAAATCAGAAGAAGGAAAAGTCTTTGCCAAGCAAAGCTTCCTATACATGGGACTAGAAAAGAGGACTGAAGGTATTCTTCTACCTCCTTCAGTGTGTCAGCCTGAGGCCAGTCATGCCCCTCTTTCACATGCAGTATCCATATTTATATGATTACTCAGTCCATCAAATGTAGATACAGACAGAAATGTCAAAACTACTTAATGCTACTTAACTACTTAGACACACACAGGTGTTTATAAGAAAGAGCTATATGCCCACAGACACCAAGATATGCAGGGATATGAACACTAGAATTAGGAAATGAAAATATAAGTGAGAGAGTTTAAGAATACATGTGGAAAGGAAGGAAGGGGGTTGAGCTGGTTGGATGTCATAGAAAGTATGTAAGTGAGACAGAGAAAAAAAGTACAAGAAAAGTAGAGCAGCTACAGCCCGAACTGTTCAGTTTTCTGTGTTGAAGACAGAGGCTTCAATTAATCTCGGTGTCATGTGTGGGCCCCCTCTTCAGAGGCAATAGTTTGGTGCAAAAGGCTGTCTGCAGGGAGCCAATCCATGTCTGATGCTTTCTCAGCTCCCTATGTGTAAGGAACTGTCCACATATCTTCTTGCTTTTCCCTTCCTCTCTGGAATTGGGCTCCTAGCTCTATTTCTCTGGGTTATTCTACATGGTCTGCTCTGAGAAGCATGAAATCTTCATAAGATATGATTTCTAGTATTAACATAGAAATCTTTAAATATGCATGCTGAGCTTGCATTTTCTGATATTTCAGCCCAAAGAGTAGGCACTGTGGACAGATACAGAGAGGAGACAGTAATTCTACACAAAACTATTTTTATCACTCAAAGTGAGGCAACCTGTGAGTGAAGAAGGAAATCACGATCTGGTATTCTCTTTTTCCTAAGAAAAGGCACTAAGAGTAGATATTTTCAATCTATGGCAGTGTAAAATCCAATTTACTGTCTACTCACTTGAAATAATGTCCCAAAGCACCCACCATTTATATACACAATAAAACTACATAAAAGGAAAACCAAACTTTAGGAATAAGTTATTATTGATACCTGCTCCCCAAGTAGGAGTTAGAAAACTAAGTTGGTAACAGATCTACAGAATAAAAACACATGCAAACTTTTATGAACCATGAGAATATTAGAGACAATGAATGAAGGACTGGTTGAGTTTATGCACACCGGAGGTGTCTCCAGGTAAGGGTTTTCTTCTTCTAGAGCAGTCAGGGTGTGGGAAAAGTTCTTTCTTATTGGGAGGAGTGGGACAGGAAGGAGCAAAGGGAGTGATCAGGCGTTAACATTTCGGTTCCATGCAAAATCAACGCAGACAGGGACCAGATGTTGAAAGGCTCCCAGCAGCCAGCACCCAAAACCTCACTGCATGGCACAGATGCTGTGGGGCAGGAACTCCTGCACGTAGGTGGCAGCTGCCTTGGAGAGGTAGGTCATGGTGCCAAACCTGCCACTGGGTGCACTGTCATATAGAAGAGTACATATGCCAGATGCGGGATCCTTTGCCAACATGGTATCATCTGCGCCGAGAGTTTTCTGTTTGTTTTTTTTTAAGGGTGGGAAAACACAGAGGAAAGAAAAAATTACTAATCCTACTAAGTAAAATCTTGATTAGTATAATTCACAGCCTCCTTCTCATCAACAGTTGGCCTCTAAGCTGCTAATCCAGGAATGGACGACGATTATGCACAAAAAGAACATGAGTTTCTATACATGCATTTGTCACCAGACCCTCAAATTATGTGAAATATTTAAAAATTATTATAAGTTAAATATGCAGTGATAGTTAATTAAATAAGTCATACTTGTTAACAGAAATGTTGGCACTTACAAATTACCTCAGTGGGACTTTGATCTGACACCTTCCAGTATTACTTATTTCAGCTTGTACCTTTTGTTTGATCACTATTTCTTTCTAAGCCAACTTAATTCAAGAAGATCATATGATTTCTAAGACTAGTCTATGCCTGAAAGGGATCACATTTTTTTGATACCAGGCTGACAATGATCTAGAATATTTAAAATTAGGACTGTCCTAGGAACTCTTGGGTACTTTTCTTTTGCATCCCCTCACAGTGGCTAAGAGAATAAAACACTTGTTAAATGTTTTGAAATTTTCCTGTGGACAACAACACATGCCCCGCACCTTATGTGCTCCTATTCTTAGGACATTTGGAACAGTTTCAAGAAACAGTTTGCATTTTTTAATGTAGTTAATTTCCTGGTAGACTTTTCAAGAAAGTAAGAAAAATGTAGAAATAAAAGTTTCACTTTGGTATTTTCCTATAAATAGTAAAGCAAAGTAACCAAAACCAAACCTTCTTTGTTCCTTAATAGTCCAAAACAGATATGCTACCCAATAGTGTCATTAAGTCCTTAAACCTAGAAAAAGCACTGTGATCAGGAATTGGAAATTTGATGCTAACGCTATGCTTCAGGGCTTTTCAGGGAAAAGCATAATACCTCTTAAGTTCCAGGCAACTTTACCATCTAACACAAAGCACAAAACATATGGGATGGGGAAAGACAGATAAACAGAGGTTAGATTTGATCAGTGTAAGCTGTATACATGTATGGAAATTTCACATGGGAAATTTTCTAGTAGATACACTTAGTCCATGTTAATCAAAAATAAAATGAAATGAGATCAGTGGTAGAATGCCTGCCTAGCATGCTTAAGGCCCTGGGCTTAATACCCAATACAAAGAAAATAAATAAAGTTTTTTTTTTTGTATTGGATACAGGTCTTACTACATTGCCCATGTTGCACAGGCTGGCCTGGAACTTGGGATCCTCCTGCCTCCACCTTCTGAGTGCTGGGATTACAGACATGCACCACCAAACTCAGCTTAAATAAGATAGTTTTTAAAAGACAAAAAAACCCCACATATGGCAAAAGAAAGAGGTTGTCTTACAGCCCACTTCTTTTGCAATAGAGTTTAGAGCCACTAAAAAGGGAGCTCAGAAAAGAGATATGAGAAGAGGGCACAAGAAAGTGACTTCAGCTTTGTGAAGAGCTTGGAATGCAGTCAGCTTAGTGTCAATTCTCCTTTGAGAAAACCACAGATTTACCTACCTGTTCTTGAAAGAACAAATCATTGGCAATATGCACTATTTTTTCTACAGCAATGATGCTTCCAATGCTATGAATTTCAATATCTGCCAGCATGGTGAGAACAAGGATGGCTTCAACCAAAAGCTGGCGGTATTCTGGCTGAGGTACTCGATTCAGGACAGATTCCACATGGACAGAGAATTTAATCTCGCCTGGAGTCATCTGTGATAAAGTAAAAGAAAATCAATTCCTAGGAGCCCATTGCCAGGAACATCAATTCCCTGCTCTGAAAGGCAATAAAAAGCCCTGTAGCTGTGAGCATAGCTTCACTAAGCCCTTTAGTGTAATGGAGTAAACTAGTTCAATCTTTATGGAAGGCATAATAGGAGTCATAAAAGTGTCAATGCCCTCTAACCCATAATCCTATTTCTGGGAGTTCATCCTAAGAAAATATTTCAAGAGAGGAAAAAAGATTTATGTGAAAGAGTGTTTATAGTGGCATTAGTCAAAGTGTAAAATTAGAAGGAATCCAAACATGGGAATTGTTGCTTAATAATGGCGTATCATGGCAGAACAACTTAATGAATTTTTATGAGACTATTTAAAAGAATAAATCTGATGAGTGTGGATAAAGGAAAATTTAAGTAGATGCTAAAATTGCATGTATATATTTGATTAGAACTATATAAAACATTTATGTACTGTTAGAGTAAAATGGGCATTAAGAAATGTAAAGTTGGGGTTGGGGCTGAAGCTCAGTGGTAGAGCACTTGCCTAGCATGTGTGAAGCCTTGAGTTCTATTCCCAGCACCAACAAAACCCATAAATAAATAAAAATGAATAAAAAAGAAGCATACAGTTATTAGAATGAAACAGATTGAGGCATACTTCTTGGTAAGATTCCATTGAGTTTATACTCTAGAGAGGCAATGTAGATTTGGAGTCTAGAGACCTGGGTCCAAGTCCTGTCTTTGTCAGTTATGAGTTATATGACCTTGGACAATTAATCTAAATTCATTTGCTTACCTATAAATTGGGAATGACAATCTCTTCTTAAGTATCTCAATATCTGTATTTAAAATCAAGCTAAATAATGTAAAAGTGCTTTGAAGACTCATAAAAGTACTAATCAGGTATGTACTATTACTAATTCTATTAACAGTTAAATATTGCTTAAATGCAGAGAAAAGACAAATAGGTAACAAGTTCTTATTACAGAAAAGGCCTGTAGGCAACGTAAAGGCCTACCTAAAGCATTACATTAATTAGCTTTTGGTACTGGCACCCCTAGTACAGCAAAAACCCCAATGTTTTCAAGAACTTTCTATTGTCCAATTTTATTACTCCTGGCTTGTTAATAAAAAAGAATAAAAGCATCTGATATTCTATGTTTGTGGCTCATGGCAATGTTTTCCAACCATGGTTATATATCAGCATCATTCTACAGATTAAAAACATAGAGATGTTCAGGCTCCCTCCCTAGAGATTCTAATCCACTAAGTTGGAAATGGAGACCAGGTTACTCCAACATATAATTAGAACTCAGAACGACTACAGGCCTATAAGCATACTACTAGAGAAGGTAGGAATGAGAAAGATGGGGGAGGATAGAAAAAGTCATTTATTCTTAGATTTCTACCCCTTCTGCCCTCTCCAACTCTAACTTAACCTCAATAAACTAACTTATAAACCATTAAAAGAAGTTGTTCTTATATAGTAATATATAACTATTCTGTAATATTTCCTTTCAATTTTTTAAAACACCATTCTCTCCTTTCTTCAAAAACACCATTCTTTCTCCTTTCTTATACTCAGTTGGTATAAAAAAGCCTAGATCTGTTATTTTGAAAAATGACCAGACAGGCAAGTTATCTGTCATACAAATGTAAAAGACAGAACCTTACCTCCCTAGTGGTTGAAGAAGGAAGAACAAAACCTTCCACAGAAAGTCCATGACACTGCAAAGCAGAAAAAACATGTCATCACCAGGGATGGGTAAGGAGAGACTTCATATTTTTAAGTGTGCTTCACAGGGTATATGCTGAGTAATCACAGGCCAGCAGGAGGCACTGCAGCCCATGTACCCCTGTCATCAGGTCATGATTCCTAAGTTCCAAGATGCAGGGTTGGACTACAGAACATCCAAAGTTCATCCACCACTTAGAGGAATGGGATGGATAGGGAAGATCTGCCTTCTGTAATAGACCAGCCCCCAAATTCAAACTACCTAACCAGATATCATGCTAGGTTCCACAGTAATCAGAAATAGGCCTTCAGATAGATTTTTAGGCTACAGGGAGAACTGAAGATATGCATTTATTGGATATAGACCACTACTACATGTTGTGGTTCCACATCAGTACTCATCCTGCACTACTTTTGCCACAGTACCTATTATATTTTAATACTCTGGATGCTTTGTTTCTTGTTTATTATTTACAGTTTCTCTCTAGTAGAATATAAGTCCCATGAGGACAGAAGTTATTGTCTGCTGTTTGTTGTGTGTAAAACACGTAAAACAGTGCATGGTACACAGTTGGTGCTCAATAAAAATTACATAATGGTATTTTATCTTCTCCATCACTATCAACTCAATTATTAAAAAGCAATGGGAATTGATGACTTAGCATTTTAGAGTCTAAATAAATCAAAACACTATATATATTAAACACACACAGATAAAGATTCTGATTCAGCAGGTTTACTGACTACTAAACACTCTCATCCTATGTTCCATATACCAAATAAGTCTACAGAGAATTGCTAGTCTTCAAACATTATGTGCAAAATTATTATGCATGTGTTTTGCCTCTTTCATTAAGATTCCAAGTCCAGGTTTTGATTCTGACACAACATATCCAATCTTTCCAGTCAGATTTAAATGTTCCTTCTCTTGAATTCCTGTAGCCTTGTAGGCACCTTTATTTCAAACTATTCTGATCTTAGCTGCTTTTTAAGAAGGTAACCATAGATTCAACTCCTTAATGACAAAGAACAAATACTTTACATAGTCCTTACATGGGACAAATCAACACTTAATAATGCCATAATCCATTAATAATTAGAGATGCAAAATACGTATTTGTCACAATAATGTTAAGTTGAAAGAAAGGCAAGTTCTAGGTACTCTTTGGAAGGAAGATTCCCTAGACCCAATAAACTAAGGAATCAACTTTTTCAACTTTTGCAAAAAAATCACCTGATTCTGTCCCTGGAAGAGTGTCAGTGAGCTGAGGGGAAAAAAAACCCCAAAAAACAACATTGTGAAGGCCTGGACAAAGTAATTTTCATGTTCTTTTTTTTTTAAGGGCAGAGAAAGGAGATTTATTACATGGCCCTGGGAATATGGGAACAAGCACAGCACTCAGCCCATTTTCAGCCATCTTCAAATCTTCAGGTTTTATCAAGGACAATGAAGCAAAAAGTGGCACTCAAGGGACTATACGAGAGACCTATGAGAAAGCACAACAATCTTCCTGGCCCTCAAAAACTGTTACCACAATATTGATGTCATGTGTTACATGCCTTTGAAAGAAAACAAATATTGGCCATACCAAGAAAGTCTTTAGGTTAGGCATAGTGGTACATGCCTGCAATCTTAGCACTTGGGAGGCTGAGGCAAAAGGATTTTGAGTTTGAGGTCAGCCTGGCTACATAAGGAGACTCCATCTTAAAAGAAAACAAGTAAGTAACAACAATAACAAAAAAGAGTCTTTGAACTACTAGTATCATTATGGCTTTGCACTTGTTTAGAAGTTTTCATCCAAGAAAAAAATATATAAAAGCTCCTTATACAATCTCCTCAGATGCTACATTTGTTTTACTACAGTGAAATGTGGTTATCAAAAACACATAGCTACACATAACATTTATAGTTTCCAATAGCTACAAAGAAAGTGAGCTCCTTAGCATCAAATCATTTGAGTAACAGCAAATGTATCACAATGTCCCACAATTGTGCAACTATTGCTCAAAATAGAAAGTCATGATTTTAAAACTTGAATTTAGAAATAACACCATTGCAACAATGGAAACATACTAAATTGTCAGTAATATCATAGTAATAATTCAGTAAGTCATTTCATTTTTATTTTTCCTTTTGGGTTTTGTTCATTTGAGTATACGATCTTTATATAATTAGTGATGTTATATTATATTTCAGCCAAGGAGACTGAGGACTTCAAATGGAAAAATAAAGAGAGAGCAACAATGTGTTATGCTCACCTTCTGCAAAACTTTCCATACTTTTTGATAAAATCCAATTGGGACTCTATTCAGTGCTCCATCCAGCCTTCTCCGGCGCTGCCATTGACCTTGACGACTATCTCTAGATGTCTGTTGATCATATGTGCTAGGAAAGGACCCACTACTTGAAGCCACACCAGTTCCAGGGGACTTGGGAGAAGGGGAGAAGAAAGAACATTAAATCAAAAATGATCTGTTTCTCAGAAAGTACTGCAGCACAATAAACAATAAACATATTGCAGAATTATTAAAAATAGCTAAGATAAAGAGGTAACAGAAAAGCTAGGAGACATATATATAGCTAATAGTATTGTATATTTATACAATTATTTTAGAAAGCAATCTGATGATATATAAGAAGGACCATAAAGGGCTGGAGGCATGGCACAAGCAGTAGTGTACCTGCCTTGTAAGCTCAAAGCCATTTCAAACTCCAGTACCACCAAAATTCCCCCAAAACAAGAAGAGTCATAAAAATACGGATGACATGAGACTTTTTTTTTTTTTGGTGGTGATACTAAGGTTTGAACTCATGGTTTTGCTGAGCCACGCCCCAGCCCTTTTTGTTTTAGTCATTTTTCAGATAACGTCTCTGATTTTCGCTCAGGGCAAGGCTCAGACTTTTCCTAACCTCTGCCTCCCACATAACTAGGATTATAGTTGTGTACTACCATGCTCAGCTCATTCCTTGAGATAGGATCTCACTAATTTTTTGCCTGGGCTGGCTTCAAATCACCATTCTCCTATCTCTGTCTCCCAAGTAGCTGAGATGACAGTCATGAGTCACCATACCCAGCCAACATAAGACATTCATAACTGTCTCTTTACCTCGTTATCTCTGTTTAACTTCTAGCTGGTATATGGCTTAGTTTGTTGCTCTCATGAATCATAACACAAGCCTCAATAAATTTAAAAGAATTGAAGTCATACAAAGTATGTTCTCCAACCACAAAGTAATTAAATTAAAAATCAGTAACAGGAAGAAATTTAGGAAGTTTTACAAATATATGAAAATTTAACAACATACTCCTAATAACTAATGAATTAAGAAAAAAAAATCAAAAGGAAAATTAGAAGTTCTCTGAGATGAATAAAAATGAAAACACAATATACAAAACCTTATTGGATATAGCTAAAAGCATATAGACAGAAAAAAATTTATGCTATAAATGACTATATTACAAAATATTATAATCTCAAATCAATAATCAAACCTTCCACATTAAGACAGCAGCAACGACAACAAAGGTCAAAGTAAACTGAAAGCAAGCAGAAAGGAAGGAAATAATAAAAGATCAGAGTAAGAAGAAATTAGAGAGTAGAAAAACAATACAGAAAATGAATAAAATTTGTTTCTATGAAAATATGAACAAATGGATAAACCCTTAGCTAGATTGACCAAGAGAGAGGAAAGAGAAGACATCAATTCTAACCTTAAAAAAAAAGGAGCATAAAGACCTACCATCAGCAGCCATAATGCTAAGAAATTATACAACTTAGGTGAAATGGACAAATTCCTACAAAGACACACACTACCCAAACCAATTAAAAAAACAGAAAAATATGAATCACTTAACAATAAGTAAACAGATCAAGTTAGGAACTTCAAAACTTCCTACTAAGGAAAACCCAAGAACAGGTAACTTCACTATTTAATTCTACAAGATATGTTAAAGACAAATTAACACTGGTTCTTTACACTCTTCCAAAAAAAGAGAAAAGGAGGAGACACTTCCCAACTTATTCTTTGAGGCCAATATTACATCTCAGTACCAAAACCAGACAAAGACATCTCAAGAAAACTGCAGTCCAATACTCTTTATAAACACAGATTTCACAATCCTGAACAAAATACTAGCAAGCTGAATTCAACAATATATTAAAAGGAATATATTTCATGAAGAAGTGAGGATTATTCTAGGAATTTTAGGTTTTAAAAACAGAAATATCAATAGATGTAATATATTATGTTCAACAGAATGTAAGATAAAAAACATATCTGAATAGATGCAGAAAAACTTCAACAAAATTCAAATCTTCATGATAAAAACATCCAATAAGATGAGATCAGATTAGAACCTCATCAATCAAAAAGTTTGATTTTTTTCTTCCCAAAATGTAGTTTCTCCCCTACAATAGAACAAGATAAGGATGACCAATCTCACCACATATATTCAGCACTGTAAAATTGTTCTAGCCAGGACAATTAAGCAAGAGAAGAAACAAAAGGCATTAGGACTAGAAAGAAAGATGTAACACTATTTCTATTTTAGATTACATTAACTTGTATATAAAAATTCTCAGGAATTCCTTAAAAACAATACAACTAATAAATGAGTTTGGTAAAGTTACAGGATTTAAGATCAACAGCAAAAATCAATTATATTTCACTTGAACAGATATTTCACCAAAGAAGACATGTAAATGGTCAACATTTATATGAGAAGGTGATCAATATCACTTATTATCATGGAAATGAAAATCAAACCACAATGAGATATCACCTCATACCTGTTTGGAATGGCTATTATCTACAAAAAAGCTAACAAACATCAATGAGAATATAAAGAAACTGGACCTATACACTGTTGATGGAAATGTAAAATGGTACAGCCATGGTAGAAAACAGTATCTGAGGTTCATCTGAGATTCCTCAAACAAAACAAAACAAAAGAAAAAAAACCAAAAATAGAACTACCATGTGATATAACAATCCTACTTTTAGGTATTTATCCAAAAGGCTGGGGGCCCTGGCTGGGAGAAAAGTGGAAGAAGGAGAAAGCCAGCTAGCATAAGCGTCTGCCTCTGCTTCCTGGCTGCCATGATATGAACTGCTTTGCTCCACTAGACCCTCTTGGCCACAATGGGCTGAAACCTCAGTGAGTCAAAATAAATCTTTCCTTTCTAAAGTTGTTTTGGTCAGGTATTTGTCACAGTAACAAAAGTCTAACTAACACACTATATGATTTCAGTTATAAGAGCTATCTAGAATAACCAAACCCATGAAAGTAGAGAGTAGAATGGCTGATGCCAGGGATTGGAAAGAAGGAAAAATGGGTACTTGCTATTCAATGGGTATAAAATTTCAGTTATGCATGATGTATAATTTCTAGAAATCTACTCTACAACCTGATAACTGTAGTTAATAATACCACATTGTACACTTAAAATTTTTAAAAGGATAGATCTTATGTTTAAATGTTCTTACTATAAGGAAAAAAATCAATTGAATTCCTGAACAGTAGCAATCAACAATCTGTCTGAAAATAAAACTAAGAAAACAATTCCACTTAAAATGGCATCAAAAGAATAAAATGATTAGGAACAAATTTAACAAGAAGCACAAAATATACTCTCAGTAAACTATAAGACATGTTGAAAGAAATTAAGTATTTAAATAAATGGAAAGAAGTTCATGGATAAGAGGATTTAACACTGTTAAGATGGTAATTCTCCCTGATCTACAGATTTAACACAATCACTACCAAGATCCCTACTATTTTTCCCTGTTTTCCCAGAAATTAACGTGCTAATTGTAAAATTTACTACAATTCTATTGTAATCAAAACCATGTCATATGGTATAGAATAAACATGTAGATCAAGAGAATAATATTTGGAGTTCAGAAGCAAATCATTATATTTTGGTCAATGAATTTTCAACAAAGGTGCCAAGAGAATTAAATGAGGAAAACAGTCCTTTCAACAAATGGTGCTGAGACAATTGGAATCACATACCAAAAAATGAAATTGAACCCTAGTCTCACACCATATACAAAAATTAGTTTCAAATAGATCATTGTGCAGAAGAGTCAACACAGCAGGCCAGAATTCCTTCTTTTCTTTTTTTGGCAATTCTGGGGATTGAACTCAGGACTTAATTGAGCCACACCTTAGTCTTTTTGCTTTTAGTTTATCAGATAGGGTCTCATGCTTTGCTCAGGCTGGCTTCATACTGTGATTGTCTTACCACTGTCTTCCAAGTAGCTGGGATTACATATGTATGCCACCACACCTGCCTTCAGAAATATTATTCTTAGAAAGGTCTGCTTATAGAGTTGGTCCTTGGGTGGCATCTGGAAAGTTGGATTTTAGGAAGGGTTCCACCATTCCCAGAACTGATAACAGTGGCTTCCTGTGCCTAAATTGGTATATAAATACTATGGTTTCACCCTATTTAGCTATCTTAATCAAACAAAAATGTCTTTTTTTTTTTTTTACAAAAGTGGAGAATAGGAAGGCAAAAGAGGTCCTGTCTGGGGGGTTGGTACCAGTGCGAGGGGAGAGGATATAAGGAAAAGGTATAGGAGGGTGAATATGGCGGAAATATTATGTACACATGTAGGTAAATGGAAAAAAGGGACCTGTTGAAACTGTTCTAGGAATGGGAGGAGGGGGGATAATGGAGAATGATGGAGGGGGTGAATTCAACTATGACGTATTGTAAGAATTTTTGTATATGTCATAATGTACCCCAAGCATAGCAATAATAAAAAAAAAGACTATAGTTTATGTTGAACACCCACTTTCCTTCTGAGAGTTTGGAGTTTTGGCATGTGCCAGACAGAGTTGTTTATATGATTGGCTCTGAATAAAGACTCTGGGTGCTGAGTTAATGAGCTTCTCTGGTTTGGCAACGTTTCATACATGCTGCCCCAAGTCATTGCAGAGGGAACTAAGTGGATACTGCATGACTCCAATGGGAGAGTATTCTGAAAGTGTGTGCCTGTTTTCCCTGGATTTCACACAGTGAAACTTTTCCTTTTACTGATTTTTTTTGTATCTTCTTATAATAAATCAGAGCTGTGTGACTCATGTGTAGAATACTAAGACTCTTCCTAGTGAATCACCAATCCTGGGGATGGTCTTGGGGAGTCCGTACTCCCAATACAATGAAAGATCTAAATGTAAGAGCTAAAACTATAAAATTAGAACAAAAATAGTATTGAATATTTCTAACCTTGGATTAGGTAAAGTGTTCTTAGATACCACCAAAAACATGGGCAAGAAAGGAAAAAATAGATTAGACTTTGTAAACATCAAAAAGTTTTATTCTTCAAAGAACATCATTAAGACAGTGCAAAGGCAACTCACAGAATGGGAGAAAATATATGCAAATTATATATTCTATAGAGGAATTGTACATAAAGAATTCACAACCCAACAATAAAAGATAAATAACCCATCTGAAAAACAGGCAAACACTCACACACATAATCCCAGCTACTTGGGAGGCAAAGATAGGAGAATCACGATTCAAGGCAGCCCAGACAAAAGTTAGCAAAACTATCTCAAAGAACAAGCCAGGCATGGTAGAGCACATCTGTAATCCCACCACTGTAGGAAGTAAAGGTAGCAGGATCAGGGACCAAGGCTGGCCTTGGGAAAAAGCTTGAGACCCTATCTGAAAATAAGTAAAGCAAAAAAGGCTGGGGTGTGGCTTGAGTGGTAGAGCAACTGACTAGCAAACGTGAGGCTGAGTTCAAACCCCAGGGCTGCCAAAAACCAAAACAAAAAGGATCTGAGTTGACATTTCTCCAAAGAAGATGAACAGGTGGCCAACAGACTCATGACAAGATCCTCCACATCATTAGCTACTAGGGAAATGCAAATCAAAACCCCAATGAGATACCACTGCATACCCATCAGGATGGCAAAAATAACAATGACAAAAGGGTTGGGGAGGATGTGAAATTAGAACCTTCATACATTGATGATAGAGATGGAAAGTGGTATAGCACCTTTAGAAAAGTTTGGCATTTCCCTAGAATGCTTAATGTAATTACCATATGATCCATCACTTCCTCTTCTAAATAGATATCCAAGAGAAATGAAAATTACACATCTGTATAAAAATTTACACATGAAGGTTCATAGCAGTATTATTTGTAATGGCCAAAAAATAGAAACAATTCAGATGTCTACCAACTAATGAATAAAATGTAGTATATCAATGCTATAGGATATATTCCTCAATAAAAAGGAATGAAGTATCAATACATGTACAACATAAGGAACTCTGAAAAACTACACTAAAGGATGAAATACAATGGTGAAAGTGGCTGACAGTTTCGATTCAGAAATAAATACAAAGAAGAAGATAATAGAAATATTACCTAAGAAAAGAACTTGGCTCACATCTATAATCCCAGCTACATGGTTTGATGCTAGCCTGGGAAAACAGTTCACAAGACCCTATCTCCAAAATAACAAGAGCAAAATGGACTGGAGATGTGGCTCAAGCAGTAGAGCACCTGCTTTGCAAGTGTGAAGCCCTGAGTTCAAGTCCCAGTTCCACCAAAAAAAGAACTTCTCACATTTTAATTGCTTACATCAACTATTGCTATGTAAAAGAGACGATCACACAGATTTGTCAAGTAGATGAACTTTCATTTAATTAATTTTCATTATCTTGTCTCTACTACCAAGATCCTAAGCTGATGGTAGCAGGGTCAAACCAGAAAGGGTATATATCTGACAAAATACAATTTAGAAATGTTTTGAAAAATTACGTATCACTAATTTTGAGTTTTTGTATACAATTCTATGCCTCTTTCCTCTATTAATGTGGACATAACAGAGTTGGCCAACTTGTATTAATTCATTACAGGGTATTTGGGTAAAGTTAACCAAAATATTTCTAATATTTTCCTATATTTTATCTACAGCCTATGGAATATGAAATCACAGGCTATAAGCAATCTTTGATTTAAACCAAAGAAATTTAAGAGATTAGTTTTCCTAAACTGTAAGCTTTATGAAGGACCATATCAATTTTGTTCATCATTGTAACTCTAGTTACCTGATACAGTATTGGTATGCAACATTTACTAAATCAATTAATAGCTAACTCTCGTGGTTTTGAAATTTAAAAGTGCATCAGAATTACCTAAAGATCTTATTAAAACACAGATTGCTGGACATAATCCCTAGTCTTTCTAATTCAGTATGCCTAGGATGGGGACCAAGAATTGGCATTGTACCTAGGTGATGCTTATGCTATCTAGTATACTGTTTGGTACACAGTAAGCATGTAATAAATTATATTAGTTGAAAGAATGACTAAACATATACATAAAAGTACTTCTTAAATTGAATTTGTTTGCTAAAATGGAAAAAAAAGGAGCTGAACTCCCTTTCAAACTACCTTATTGGGAAGGAAATATATTTCACCCTCATATGTGAAGTTGTTTTATACCTATTTTAGTTTTTGATTTGGTTTTTCTTTTTAGTCAAGTAGCATACCATGATTTATATGACAGCATATTCAATGTACTTGTGAATGGAATATAATACAAGATAAGAGCAGTTACCAGAAGAGACGGTGACATCAAATCTATACCCGAGAGATGACCACCATTGGACTATAAGAAAAATGAGAAAATAAATATTTTAAAGCAATGAGGCAAGGCAACTACAACTTGTGTTTTAAAAATTTATTAGTAGAGTAAAAGTATGGGGCATGTAAGTAACTAGACAGCCATGTTATCATTACAAAGCTGAAAAAATTGTGCTCATAGTAAGGGGTAAAATAAATGGGTAAAACTCTCTCAAAGTGTTTTTGCCCAGAAAAGGGGGCACTGGTCAGTGATAGAGAAAAGGTTGTAGAACAGTACAAAATACCAGACAGGCAGATGAGAAAGTAAAGAAAATCAAGGGTCTCAATTCTTTAAATTATAGTCCTAATGATTTGGGCTCCCTTAAAGATCTATAGGTAGTGGATGTGTAGAAAAAGAACTAAAATGAGTAGCTTGGTAGATCAAGTTTTAGCAGTGTATTAATCTAGCTTGGAACATGATTTCCAGTTGTAAATATATGATGAACTTATGACGTTTTACTGTGTGACTATAAACAATGATTAAACATTAAGCTAATTACTTTTAACTAAAATAAGAATTGTTAACTAACAATATCAATTTTACTATTCAGTATTGAATGTTGTTCTTTCCCCTCTCAAATATGAAAATATTCAGATTATTCAAATTATCTGAAAAAAATTATAAAGTGAACACTTTGTTTAAAGATGCGAGGCTTCTCTCTATTTCATTCTTGTTCATGTCAAAAGGAGCCAGTGTACTCAAATTAAGTTTATTTCAAGTTAAACTTTAAGCACTAGTTCATTGTCCGTCAAGACTCTCTTTTTAAAAAGGCATTCCCCTTTTAAAAGAAGACAAACAAAATCCTCATTTCACCTATCCTGCTCTGGATGAATCTTTTTGGTGGTACGTGGATTTGAACTCAGGGCCTCACACTTGCTGGGCAGGTGCTCTGCCACTTGAATCACTCTGCCAGCCTTTCTGGATTAATTTTTAATCCTATAAGCTATCACAATTCTACTTTGAAAACAGGAAGAGTTTTAAGCTTTTCATAAAAAGTGTTCTAGGAGGGACCAAATAAGTACCTTCTGAACTTGGAGATCTGAAAACAAAATAATTTCCCAGAGTTTTAAAAAATAGCTACTGAAGCCTGTGTTAACTATATCTTTGAATAATGCAGTAACTCATTTATTGTCACTGTAAGGAAGAGTAAGAAGCTACAATATGGTGTTTGATGACTCCCAACAACTCCTGGACTGAGACTGACTTAGATGCTTCTCCTCTATGTATCCATACTACCTTTCATACACCTTTCTCATGGCAACAATAAAGGTCTATTTTGTGGGTAAGATCACAGAATAGATTTTGTTTATTTTTCAATGCTGGAAACCAAACCCAGGGCCTTGCTCATGCTGAGTCTGAAAATTCATTTTTAAAAAAGAAAGCCCTCTAATCTGGTATTCAAACGTCTATTATTAGGAAGTCTAAATCTAGTTTAATAAAGAAAATCAATTCAGCTCCAAAGTTGCACATTGGTCCTAATAAGAGAAACTTGGGGTATTAATTTCTTGCTGTCTGGTATAAGTTACTTTCTTCCTAAAATTAGCAAAGTTGTCTGGTCCAGAAAAAGGAGATTCAAACAAGTGACTCCATGGCTTGTTATTATTTGTATAAAGGCCACAGGCTCATGCATGTTATATAGAACTAAAAGTTAAAGTATGTTAAAAAATCCCTAAGTTGTTTCACCTGACTCTCAGTTGAAATAGACAGTCTACGAAATTCCACCTGAAAAATAAATGGCTTAAATTATACTCAGGATATGAAAGAAAATAAATGATACCAACAAAGTCTGATTCCAAAAGAAAGTTCTTAAACATGATTACTATCCCAACTAATCTCCCAGGTAGAATCTTACCTGCTTTATCTCACTTTTTAACTGCATGATTCCAGTTCGTTCTGTTTTGGTTGCTCCAACAGCACCAATCTCATGGATAGAAATAGCAGGACTAACATTTGAATCAGTGGGACGAACTGATTAATGGGAGATTAAAGAGAAAAAGAGGATAATTGGGTTCATTTTTTCTTCACAATGTTAAAAGGAATTAGATGTGTTGTTCTTTTATTTTTAACTTAATTTTTAAAAACCAACTATTTAAAGTGTGGTCCCTGACCATCAGCAACAACTAGAAGCTTGGTAGTAGAATCTCAGGTCAATTGAATCAAATTCTGCATGCTAGCAAGATGCCTAGCCTGAGGACTACTGCATCCTTTCTTTTGTCATTCTAAGGTCTGGTCATCCATTCACCTGACCTAAGCTTAAAAGCTGAGCAAGAGTGATAACTAATTTTCATTTGTTCTGCTGTTTTAGGTATGTAACACCAAATAATACTGTCACAACCAAAAGTGCAGGCTGGATTTGATCAGTGCACACTGTATGCATGTATTGAAATATCACAATGAACCCTATGAATATGTACAGTTAACACATATTAATCAAAAATGTAAAAAGTACATGTGGAAAATTAGTTTGTGATGAACTCCTAGACATACTAGAGGTTAAGGCTGAAAGAATATGGTAGGTGTACTGCAGCAGCTAAACACATACATATGTATATACATACCCAAAACATTTTAAGTTCTCCTGAATTATTGCCAATTAGAATATAAATAAGTTTGTCCTTGAGACTTAAGCTAATATAAGGGAATGAATAAAATAGTTAAAAATGAAACATGAGCACAATCAATACACTTAGTTGATACATTATTTAAGGGAAAAAATGAGCACATAGTAGTTTCCAAATCATGTTCCAAATAATAGCTTTGCTTTTAACTGTTTGATATACAGGCATTCTATTTATTTGGGGCAAAAGTTCCTCTGATAAAAGAAGAACACTTTAAAACTAATGAGACTTTTAAACTACATACTCTGAAATGGAAATGCAGTTATTTAATCTTACCACTCCGTTCCACTCCAAACTCCTTGCCACTGAGAATGTGATGTAGGAGGTTCTTCATAGCTGAAGGACTGAGATTCATCAGACCCTCCGTAGCTTCTTCAGCTAGTCAACACAAACATAAGACAGAAGGAATTCTGATTTTCCTGCCATACCTTCCCTATTTTTCTCTATTTTCTTTCCTCCCTTCCTTCCTGTCCTGGGGATTGGATCCACAGCCTTGTGTATGCTAAGCACATATGCTACCTACCACTAAGCTACACACCCAGATCCTTTATTTCTTTTTTGGATTAGAATGTCTGACTCCCTTGATTGGAATATGAGAATTACAAAATAAATTTCTAATAGCATACACTTAGCTAACCATTTTGAGATCTGGGAATGGTGGTATACGTCTATAATCTCAAGACTCAGGAGGTAGAGGCAGAGAGGATCTTGAATTTGAGTCATCCTGGGCTACACAGCAAGGCCCTGTCTCAAAATAAAGAAATAAATAGCCTTCTCAGGAAATTTACCTGAAACAGTAAGTTTCATTTTCAACTTTTCTAATTGTGAATAGATTTTTCTGTACCATCCCTAACTCTATAATTTTGCCATTCTTGTTGAAATCAAATAAATACCAGTGGAAAAGAGTCGTGCCCATGGATGTCCTCCACCACCCACTGCCATATAATTGTGCTGCGCAACTTCCACAGGCCTCAACTATTTTTCCAATGAAAACTATTATCTTGATAAATGCACCTACACTTAATTTCAAAGAGTGTCAGATAAATGTTAATAAAATATTGTCTTCCTTTATGAGACCATAATGTTGACTAGACAGAATACTGATAGTGTGAACAGCTTCCAGAAACAACTGTCTGAATCAGAACCCATTCTAGTATGTAACACTCAGTATTCTTCAGAGCCCATAAGGAGTTAGGAGGAATGAGGTTAGTTAAGATTAGTTGATTAAGAAGAATTTGGAGTGGGGAGCCCCCAAGAGGTGGCATTTTGAAGATGTAAACAGTATACAAACATGTCCTCTTATCAGTCCCTTGACTGATCAACATGAGAAAAAGATTGCCTTACGCAGATTCTGAACTATGGATAAAAATGTAGCTTTCTTTCCCTCCTAATCCCAAACTTCCTTGATCTACATGAAAAGTGAATTCTGCCTAAAATTAGTTACTGAATTGAATACCTGAGCATCGAAGGGAGTGGGCCAGTTCTGTTGCCATAACCTGTATAATCAGACCAATTCGAAGTCGAAACATTTCAGCAAAGAGGACAGGCTGGGTTCGCATATACATGGCTAAATATACCATTATTTCCTGCGCACAGAATGGATGTAAACAAAAATTATACCGCAGGTCTCTACTTTGTTGTCTTTGTAAACTGCCAGATTGGGCTATATAATGCTTTTACCTGTGTAAGTATTGAAATGCTCATGTCCCCTTCACTGGCTTCATCAATCAGTTGAGTGAGTGCTTCATAGGGCAGGGGTCTGAGGAAGAAGACAGCAAATAAAGACAAAATTCTACAATGACTTAAACCTAAATATATTGAAAACATAAACAAAAGCTCTTTCCAAGTCCAAGTCACTGCCTTCAACACCTCATCATTACCAGTAACTTTCTGGTTCTTTCAGTGTCCAAAGCTCATTCATTGCCTCCCCAAACCACTCTGGCCCATATCAACTAAGAAAGCTCTACTATTTCCCTTCTACATCTACACTGTCTTTCTCCTTCAAATTTTTATTTAAAAGTCACTCCGTGATAGCCTTCCAGAATAGTCTTTCATGGTTAGTCCTTGACATTTGACAGGTAACTATTAAGGGTACAAATAAATAAACTAATTTTAAACTGTGCCTTTTGGAAACCATTACAGTCACATCTTAAAGAGTTAAACTGATTGTCTATAGTTTCATTAGTTTGTGCACACACTCTTCCACACACACACACAGACATGGATTCAACTATACACACATTCTTCCAGACTTCATGCCATCTTCTTTTGGATTACCTACAGTGTCACAAAACTGATCTGACTTGTGATCAGAGGTTCTTTCTGTCAGAAACAAGGTGTTACAGGTTGAATTGTGTCTCTCCAAAATTAATATGTTGAAACCCCAATCTTTAGTACTTCAGAGTATGACTTTATTTGGAGATATGGTCTTTAGAGGTGATTAAAGTGAATTAATTAGGGTGAGTCCTAACCCAGTATGACTGATACTCTTATAAAAAAAAAAGGAAATTTGCACATAGACACATGCACAGACGAAAAAAAATATGAAGAGACATAGGAAGAAGGCAGCCATGTACAATCCAAAAGAGGCCTGGAACAAAGCCCTTCATAGCCTTGAGAAGGAACTACCTCTGCCGACACTCCGATTTATCCCCCAGACCTGTGACAGAATAAACTTCTGTTGTTTAAACTACCAGTCTATGGTATTTTGTTATGGCAGCCCAAGCAAACTAACACAAAAGGTTAGAACTACTTTCCTAAAGTGTAACTAGGACTTTATACATGGAATCTATGACACATCATCCTAAGACATATCTCTCCAAGTCTTCATCTAGGAGTTTGAATTGGATCTTAGAGGCAACAGAAATTATGGCTATAAATCAGGAAGGAGGTGGTATGCAGACATCATCAAGGTATCCCTGATTACTTCTCTCATTTATTCCTGAATAAGCTCTATTTCTAGAGCCTGTTTTATTTACAAAATAAACTTTTCACTAGCTAGGGGTGGTAGCACATTCCTGTAATCCCAGCACCCAGGAGGCTAAGGCAGGAGGATTATAAATTTGAGGCCAGCCTAGGCTACATAGTGAGACCCTGTTTTAAAAAAAGTAAAAAATTTTTTCACTATGCTACCTACTAAAGTAGAACTGACAGGCAAAGGGAATGTCTTGTTTAAATCACTTCTTGAAAGAAATACAGATTTTTCTGATTGTTTATGAATAAAATTAGAATCCTTCTAAAATATTTCCTGGAAATGCAACCTGCTTATAGATTTAAATATTGGTACTAGCATGACACAAAATTAAATAGATTTAGTGCACATGAATTTTACTGGCATGGCTAATGGCAAAAGAAAGACATGTAAGAATCACACTTTCCATCCTAGTCTAGACTTTTCACCCTCTCCAGCCCCCGACTGTCCTAGAAGACTGCTGCCAATTGGAAGCTGTGGCAGAACAGTGCCAGTGGCAATTTCATGACAATGCTCCTGCAGGGATGCTACCTCACTCTGCTCTCCAAGCACCCATCTTTCCCCTTCAACTTTGACCTTCACCCCACCTATTCCTTCTTGAGCAGAATGGAGTTACATCATCACCCCTGTGCTCCAGCCTCACACTTTCATCCACCTCATCTTTTAGAGTATGGTTGACTTTTGGTGGGCGCTAATTCCCAGTGCCCTATGTATTTTGCTGTGTTTTTTGAATGGGAAGTTTGGGAAAAGCCAATAAGCAAAAAACGTTTAAACATTACTCCCTATGAGCTTTTCTCTCTTACTTACTTGTGCCCTGTCATGCCAACCTTCTCCTCGAGTGTCTCTGATGGAAGTGTACATGTAGGACATTGTCATCCAGCAATAGAATGGGGCAAGAGAACTGCATTAAGTCCACACAGATCTTTAAAGGCTCAGAAAAGCCTTTTTAAACATAACCAAACACCACACTCACGCAGAGATGGTCTTCTCTCGAGGTTCTGGAGGGAGTCCCACTGTCAAATGTTTCTGGTAAGAGAGAAGGTCTGTGCAGGCCTAAAAAGAGATGGCATAACATTATCCCTACCATAAGACCTCACCTTTTCACAAACATTTCTCTTCTTAGGAAATACATGAAGAACAGAAAAGAGGGACTTCTGGGAAGGAACAATAAAGTCTTTTCATCTTTTAGGAGGTAGGAACTTTTAGTTCAGTGTAAATTCATTCTTAACACCTAGAATTCTAGGCTAATGCAAACAGATCATGAGTTCAAGGTCAGCCTAGACTATATAACAAGACACTGTCTCAAAAATTTTTTTAAAAAGGAAGAAAAAAAGATCTAGAATTCTTACAGTTTATAACACTTCTGAAGGCTACAGTTCTTATGCTTAATTAATGTATATTTGTCATTCACAAAAAGCTAACTGAATGCCAAAAACTTTATTTGTGAAAGACAACATGTGAAATAGAGGTTGCGATTACTTTAAAACAGTAATGGAAATTGACTTTTTTTCCTGCAGTGCTAGAGATTGAACCTAGGGTCTCATGCATAAGCAAGTATTCTACCACTGAGCTATAGCCCAACTTTGGAAAAACCAACTTTTTAAAAAGCACCCTGATCTAGATTTGATATTAATTCAAGAAGAACTTATAGTACCTCATCAAGTGCTTCCACCTTTTTCCTTAAGATACCAGAGATGTATCGGATTAGGCCCCAGTGACGGATTTCTCCAACTTTGCCATATAGTTCAGTAAGCAGCACTCTGACTGTAGCACCCCCTTCCTCATACAGTTTGGTGTCCCAGTCAGGTCCTCTAGAATTTTAAAGATGGGACTACATTAATTATAAGTAAAGCCTGAGGCACCAATTTTTTCTTTCAATGTTATAATGGACACAACAGGATTTTTTTTCCCCTGAACTCAGGGCCTTACACTTACTAGGCAAGTGCTTTATCACTCCAGCCTGTACATACCTGTTCTTGACAATGCTCCCTCAGCAGGAAACTAATGTTATTTACTAAGAACCACTGTAAAACTATGATTAACAGTTAACCCTAGTAGCCAAATATCTAGACAAGAATTTCTTAGTTTTGGTTGTGCTTTGACACAATGTATTACTTTACCTTCTCCACAGACTTCAACATAGCTGAAATTAAAGACAAATATTTGAGGCTGGAAAAGATAGCAGATTAGACACCTAGTACTTTCCTGTGTCTTGACAAATCTGAAGCAAAGCATTAGATGTGCAAACCTCTACAGAATATACTTTCTTCTCAGCAGCCCTTTGAACTTTCTCCAAAATAGATCACATAATAGGCCATAAAGAAAGTCCTTTATATTTGGTAATCCTGGGGTTTGAACTCAGGGCCTCACACTTGCTAGACAGAAACTTTATAATTTAAGCCATGCCACCAGCTCTTTTTGTTTTAGTTATTTTTCAGGTAGAGTCTCACTTTTTTTGCCCAAGGCCAGCTTGGACCACAATCCTCCTACCTAAGGCCTTCTGCATAGTTGGGATTGCAGACATTCTTCCTCAGCTTTTTGCTAAGACTGGATCTTGCTAACTTTTTGTCTGGGCTGGCCTTGTACCACAATCCTCTCAATTTCTGCCTCCTGAGTAGCTAGAATTACAAGTGTAAACCGCCATGCCTATTAGCAAGTATTAACTAATTTCTTGTATTTTATCAGATCTTACAGATTTTTTTAGTGGTACTGGGTTTGAACTCAGGGTCTCACTCTTGCTAAGCAGGCACTTTACCACTTGTGCCATTCCACCAACCCTTCTTATCAGATCTTAATGGAATAAAATTAAAAGTGAATGGCAACAGAAAACTACACAAACTATATAAATACACAGGGTTTGAACAACACACTTCTGGTAGTGCCATGGTTTAAACTTAGGGCCTCATGCTCACAAGGCAAGTGTTCTACCACTTGAGCTATGCCTCTAGCCCAAACAACACACTTTTGAATGATCAATGGGTCACTGAAGAAATCGGGGAAGAAATTAAAAGATTACTAGAATCAAATGAAAATGAAAATGCAACTTACCAGAACCTTTGGGGCACAACAAAGGCAGTTCTGAGAGAGAGAGAAAGTGATCTCAAATAAATAACCTAGTGATGTACCTCAAAAGCTCTTAGGAAAAGAAGAACAAGTCGAATCCCAAATTACTGACATAAATAATAAAGACAAGGGCAGAAATTAAGGAAATGGAGACTAAAAGAACAATATAAAGAATCAATAAAAAGCCAGGCACTGGTGGCTTATTCCTGTAATCCTAGTTAGTTTGAGGCTGTTATGAGGATAGTGATTTGAGGTTAGTCCAGGCAAACAGTTCATGAGACCCCATCATCAAAATAACCAGAGCAAAATGGACTGGAAGTGTGGCTCAAGCTGTAGAGCATCAGCTTTGCAAGTGCTAAGCCCTGAATTCAAACGCCAGTCCCACCAAAAAAAAAAGAATAAATGAAAAGAAACTTGGTTTATTGAAAAGATAAACAAGATTGACAAATCCTTACTTAAAGTAACCGCAAGAAAAAGAAAGAAGACTGCCAATAATAAAATTAGACACAAAAAGGGAATATTATAGTATACACCACTGAAAGCCATAGGATCATTAAGAAATATTTTAAAAACTTGTATACCAATAAATTGGAAAATCTAGAAGAAATAGATAAATTTCTAGACACATATGACCTAGTAAAATTGAACAAAGGATATAAATAACTTAAATAGATCTATAATGACCAATGAGATTGAAATGGTAATAGAGTCTCCCAACAAATAAAAGCCCAGGACCAGACAAAGTCATTGCTAAATTCTACCAAACCTTTAAAGAAGAACTAACACTAATGCTCCTCAAAATAGTCCATAAAATAGAAAGGAAAAAAACACTACTAACCTCATTCTTGAAGCCAGAATTACCCTGATACCAAAACTGGACAATGGCACAACAAAAAACACCAATTTCCTAGATGAATATGCATGTAAAAATCCTAAATAAACACTTGCACAATGAATTCAACAACACAATAAAAACATCATACATCAACCAGGTGTGGTATGCATGCCTGTAATCCCAGCTACATGGGAGGCAGAGGCAGAATGATGTTGAGTTTGAGGCCAGCCTTGGCAAAGTTAGTGGGACTCTATCTCAAAAACAAAATAAAAACAAAAGGACTTGGGGGCATAGCTCAAGTGAGTGGAGTGGGACTTGAGTTCAATCTCCAGTACCCCCCCACACACATAATCACACACCGTGATCAAGTTGGTTTCACTACAAGGATGCAAGAATGGTTCAACATATGCAAATCAGTAAGTGTAATACAACACATAAACAGAATCAGGACAAAAAAAATCACACGATCATCTCAATAGATGCAGAAAAGTCTTTGATAAAATTAAATATCCCTTCATGATAAAACCCTGAAGAAACTAGGAACAGAAACATAATAAAGGTTATATATAGCAAACCTATAGCTAACATTATACTAAGTGGGGAAAAACTGAAAGCATTTCCTCTAAAATCAGGGATCAGACAAGGATGACCATACTCTCCACTCTTACTCAATATACTACTTGAATTCTTTGAGACAGAAGAGCCTCCCTATGCAGCTCAGGCTGTCCTGCAATTCCTTATGTAGCCCAGGCTGGCCTTGAACTCTCTATCCCCCTACTTCAGCCTCCTGAGTACTGGAATTACAAGCATGGACCACTATGCCTGGCTAGTGCTTGAATCTTAGCCAGATCAATAAACCCAAAGGAAGAAATAAAAGGGGTAACAAATAGAAAAGGAAGAAGTCAGGTTATCCCTATTTGCTGATGATATGATCCTATACTTAAAGACCCTAAAGTCTTCATCATAAAACTCTTCTGACAAATACTTATAGCAAAGTGGCAGGATACAAAAGCAATATATAAAATCAGTAACTTTTCTTTATATCAATAACAAGCATTCTGAGGAAGAAATAATTGAAAAAAAATCCCACTCAGATAGCCTAAAAAATACCTAGGAATAAACCTAACCAAGGAAATGAAAGACCTCTATAATGAAAACTATAAAATACTTTAGAAAGAAATTAAAATACACTAGAAGATGAAAAGACCTCCCAGGTTCACGGATCAGCAGAATATTGTGGAAATGTCTAGTCTACCAAAAACAATCTATATATTCAGTGCACTCCCCCACCAAAACTCCCATATTCTTTACAGAAATAGAAAAGAACAATCCTAAAACTCATTTTGAAGCACAAAAGACCCCAAATAGCCAAAGCAATCCTAAGCTCAAAGAGCAATCCTGAGCCAGGTGCTTCCTAGCTACTTGGGAGACAGGGATCAAGAGGATCCTGATTTGAAGCCAGTCCTAGGCAAATAGTTTGCAAGACCCTATCTCAAAAAAATTCATCACAAAAAAAGGGCTGGTGGTGGCTCAAGTGGTAAGAGTAGATGCCTACCAAGTGTGAGGCCCTAGGGCCACCAAAAAGAGCAATCACAGAGGTATCGCAATATTCAATTTCAAATTATACTCCAGAGTCATAGTAACAAAAATATCATGGTACTGGCACAAAAACAGACATATACATCAATGGAATACAACATAAGATTCACAAATAGGTCTATGTAGCTACAGCCATCTGATTCTTGACAAATTTGTCAAAAAACATACATTGGAGAAAAGACAGTCTCTTCAATAAATGGTGCAGGGAAAACTGGATATCCACATGTAGAAGACTGAAATTAGACCCCTACCTCTCACCCTGTACAAAATATATCAATTGAAAATGCATCAAAGACCTTAATGTAAAACCCGAAGCTTTGAAACTACTATAGGAAACCATAGGGAAAACTTTAAAATTATAGACATAGGCAATGACTTTCTGAATGGGACTCCAATAGCTCAGGAAAAAACAGCAAGAATTGACAAAGGGGATTGTATCAAATTAAAAAGCTTTTGCACAGCAAAGGAAACAATTACCACAGTTAAGAGATAGCTATTTATCGGACAAGGGATTAATACACAGAATATATAAAGAGCTCAAAAAAATTTAACATTAAAAGAACAAGTAATCCAATTAATGAATAGGCAAATGACTTGACCAGACAGTTCTCAAAAGGAGTAAAATGGCCAATAAATACATGAGGAAATGTTCAACATCCTTAGCCTTAAAAGAAAGGCAAATTAAAACACTGAGATTCTATCTCACCCTGGTCAGAAGGGCTATCATCAAGAAAACAAACAACAAATAATTCCTGTAAGCACGTGGGAAAAAAAGGAACCCTTATACAGTGTTGCTGGTGGATACAAATTAGGGTAGCCACTATAGAAGTCAGTATGGAGGTTCCTCAAAAAACTAAAAATAGAAGTACCATATGATCCTGGTATACCACTCCTGGGTATAGACCCAAAGAAATCTGAGTCAACATATAATAGCAATACTTGCACATCCTTATTTATTGTGGTACTAATCACAATAGCCAAGTCAGGGAATTGGCCTAGGGGCCAAGGGACAGATGAATGGATAAAGAAAATGTGGTGCATATATACACAATGGAGTATTTATTCAACCATAAAGAAGAACGAAATTATGTCATCTGCAGGAAAATGGATGGAACTGGAGATCATGTTAGGTTAAATAAGCCAGACTCAGAAAGACAACTATCATATTTTCTCTCATATGTGGGATCCAGATTCAAAGAAAGATGTGAAAGTAGAAGGAGGACTATTTGTGAGGGCAGTAGGAAGGGTAACGAGGACAAAATAGAGTGATGGGGTTGACTATGATCAAAGAACATTGTATACATGTATGAAAATGTCATAATG